CCTTCTCAACATGTATTCAAAACAGTGGAGGCATTATGTTACTGAAACATTTAAACAATATAACTTGCCGTGATTTGAGTATCTTTTTCCTGACAGACATTGCACAGCTTCCTTATTCACAGTGCAGGTTAGTTTCATTTGTCCAATGTACAATTACCGAAGGTCACAATGCCCAATTATGCTCAGTAAATAATTAAGTGAAATATCAGATTAACTGGTAGTCAATGTTCATTTTAGTGGTTAAGAACAGAATTCAGTATATGTATCATTAAATCAAATGTAAAATTATGTAGTAATATAGAGGAAATGTTTAAATCATTATTCTTCGGTACATAACATCGACTGCACATTACATATGCATATACATATACATTGATTTCGACCATCGGCAAAAATACTCTTTACCCTTTAGATAAATAGATGACATTTGTAAAATTGTACTCTCAGGTTTCAAGGGTAGTATGAATCCTATTAACCTGTCCAAACAGTTAGTTTGGACTACCTTGACAGTTTGCAAACTTTTGATGTGTACCCGGTAAATCAAACTCACTTGAACTGGTTTTATCATGGAAAATTATATGTGTCAAAGGTTTATGTGGATATGCTAAAAAATAATTTCCCTGCCTCAACGTGGAAAGGGGGACTATGTATTCAGCAGCGTCCGTACATATGTCCCGATTCTTGTTAACGCGATATCTCATGAAATGTTGTACCCAATGTCTTCAGATTTGGTGACAGTCTACATTGGAGGATTACCCAGACACCAGTCGATTTGGGTGACCTAGACCTTATTTTCAAGGTCACCATGACACTTTGACCACTTTTCAAACTCTTGTTAACACGATATCTCATGAACTGTTGTACCCAATGTCTTCACATTTGTTGACAGCCTGCATTGGGGATTACGCAGCCACCAGACGATTTGGGTGACCCTGACCTTATTTTCAAGGTCACCATGACACTTTGAACAGTTTTCAAACTGTTGTTAACGTGATATCTCATGCACTGCAGGGGTGGAAATAACTTTAAAATTGCTGGTGTACTCTGGTACAGTGACACATGTAAAATCACTTGCCCTAATAACTTTTCCACTATATGGCCCATTTTCTTGTTGATTTTTTAAATAAATAACATTATTAACATTGGAAAGTCAACTGACTCCGGTACAGCGTGATATACAAATTTGCTTGCCCGACAGAAAAAAACACTGGACTCGGACGTAGGGCAATGGGTTATTTCCACCCCTGCACTGTTGTATCCAATATCTTCAAATTTGGTGACAGCCTACATTTGGGAATTACACAGACACCAGTTGATTTGGGTGACTTTGACCTGATCTTCAAGATCACCACGACACTTTGACTACTTTTCAAACTTATGTAAACGGGATATCTCATAAAACATTGCACCCAATGTCTTCAATTTTGTCGACAGCCTATATTGGGTGATTATGCAGACATCATTAGTTTCAGGCATCTTGTATGTGACCAAAAATATAAAGTAGTAAATATGTTATAAATATTCCACTCTTTAACGGCGGGGGACATTGTCATATCAGTGGCGAACACTTGTTATTCTTTGAAGTGGAAAATTTATTGATCCTAAAAATATATCCTTAGTGAGAGTATGGTTTTACGCTGCTTATAGCAATATTCCAGCAACATCACAGTGGGAACTTCAGAAGACAGATCCCTAACGATGATAATCTTTGAAATAACAAGTCTGTTAGAATAAGAGCTATGTCCCTTTGAATATCAATAAACAATGTTGTCTGCTGCAACAATCATGATGTAACTCTTTATGTCCCAAACAGAGGAACGGATGAAATGGTTCTGGAAAACACTAGAATTTGGCACCAAAAACTAGTGGTGGTCCGATTAATTGAAATAATCGAAGATTGGTCGCAGTGACTAAACGACCAAGCAATCCATCATGTTTTCTCATAATCGAACACAAACAATTCTGGAACACTTGTTTTCATTAACAATATTTTTCACAAGGTTGGTTTTGTCTGTTACATTTCATAAGCACTACAAGCTCGTTTCAACTCATGATTGAATTTATCTTAAAGACTCCAAGAAATTTATGTTCCTAACATACTAGTCATCCTTTAAAGATGTGAAATTTTGCAAAAAAACCCCAAAAGAACTACGTGTTTTTCCTTATTTTTATGTGCATTAACAAATTTCATAAATGACGCTAACCAATTTTTTTTTTTCGATGATTGATCGGTTGTAATGAACTAATCATCAATTATAAGATTTTAACCAATTCCCAACACAACCAAAAACATCAGCCAGATAGTACAGTCATCCCTTGCAATAATGCCCTTTGTGATGCCACAGTCTTGGTTAAAGTGCGGGATAATAAAAAAAATCGTGATCCAAGCATCTTCACGTCAACAGAAATAGTAATCAACAAATCTACTGTTGTGCTCAGCTTTATCATGTAAGGATTAACCAGTAAACTTCAATGCAGATGGTAATATAAAGTGAGTGAGTGAGTGTGTATGGTTTTACGCCACTTTTAGCAATATTCCAGCAATATCATGGGCTTCACACATTGTACCCATGTAGGGAATCGAACCCGGGTCTTCAGTGTGTCGAGCGAACACTTTAACCACTAGGCTACCCCACCACCCCAGTAATATAAAGTGTTCATTGTGTATCCTTGTGTTATAGGTTTTCAGATGCTTGAGAAGAACATTCAGTGTTTTGTTGATTACTCGAACAGCGGAACATTGTACTAACTTATAAAATATAACTTTTTCTTAAAGATAAGCCTTCATCCAAGTGTTCACAATGTTTGCGTTGTGCAAAACACCTCATTATGATGCAAGTCAACACTACCATCTGCAAACACATGTCTGAAAACAAGGAATACAATGATCTTCCTACACGTCATTTCATTGGATTTAATTGAGTCCCATTTTTGATAAAGTAATAACTGTTTACAGTAACATTGATGAAAATGTCTGAAATGACATGCTTATTTCGCCTCTCCCTATATGCTACCAACTTATCACCCACACCGAGATAGCACCATTTTACACTGTCCTCAGCAATCACAATCTGATTACAGCTGTATCATCCGATGACCCTGAGACCTACATTATTGACTTGTTGAAACTTATATTTGACAAATAATTGCCAACATTTTGTTTTTGTTATCAAAGTGGCATTTACCGCAGAAGTCAATGGTGACTTGGCAAGCTGTCTCATATTTAAAATTAGGGGTGACTATTGAGGGGGGAAAAACTGTTGCGATAGCAATAGTCTACTGCGACCAACTATTGCAATATTTTTTTTCTCCTTGCATTGTCTCATTTGAAGACATTTCCCAAATGAATGTATTATGAAATAAAAACAAACTTAAGTAGTATCAGTCTCTTTTAATAACTGACAAGAAACTTGAAACCCAGATAAAGTTTGTTTATGAGGTCACCCGTGATGGTCCGGGTTAGAATTGATCTTCAGTTAGGCGACTAACAGGATCGGGTGGTCGGGCTCGCTGACTGGGTTGATACATCTCATCGTATCCCAATTGCGTAGATCGATGTTCATGCTGTTGATCCCTGCATTGTCTGGTCCAGACTCGATTATTTACAGACCGCCACCATATAGCTGGAATATTGCTGAGTGCAAAATCAGAGTGAACTAATCTGGTACTACCTGTATTTTGCGCTGCGCATTTATCAACGGAAGTCAGTTACTAAACTATGGATAGTCACACATACTATTGATGCATCAATAGTTTTTCGTTTCTACCATCGATTGCTATCAGAGACTCAACAATTGCAATCCATCAATAGCATAGTTACAGCCCTACTTAATATTTATCCATCTGCGTACCAAAGTCCTACGCTTATGTTAATTGTACAAAAAATGCATTAGACTAACACGACAGTATTATTATCCCTGCTAAGATAATTGCTATATATAAATTCTGATCATGTAATAGAAATTCTTTGAAGTTATATTTAGGGATAGTTAATTGCTGCTAGATTGGCGCAATACATGTGTACACAGCTGATTGCTATTGCCAGCTTTGTTGACATTATAAATGCACACCGTAATCTTACTCTACATGTAAACCAATGCCTAGCATAACAGGGACTACAACCCAGTCATCATGTCTAGTGATGTTTGATTGCAAGTTTCCTGTTTTCATTTACAAAGTTTGTTTGTTCACCTCTAACGATATGGCATAGTTTGACGGGGTACAATATACAAGGTACATGTAGCAGTTATGCCATGCACAAGAAAAATATGATAATATTTTGCCTTTTTTTGATGTTTTGTATAATGCGGGTGTATCATAATGTGGGCGTCATCCATAGACCCAGAAACCTGTGTTACAGTGAGGGATGACTGTAAATGATTGTACGGCCGTGTTGAATCTGTATTTCTATTGGCTTCTTACTTTGTAGTAGTTCTGTGATTATTGAAACACTAGAGACATAATGTTAGTTACAACAAATGGATTTGATCATTTTCTTCTTCAGTTTGTAACTGTTTGCTGACATTTTTGTAGAATATTAGGCAGAATATCTGCCTCGAAGGTCTACAGTAATCCCTTACTATGAACATATACAGAGTTTGCCATGATGCAGAAAACCTGAGTATTTGACGCACAAATTATCTCAAATATGCGGTAAATTTATGAGCTTGCATCATTGTTGATGCAATGCTACTGGGCCCTTAGTTCAGATAATCTATACTTCTAAAACTAAATGTTTGCTAGTTAACTGCTCAGTGCTGATTACATACCTGACCTGCCTTACCTTGTTTTTTGTCGCTATTACACTATCACAGTTGATGTCTTGATGAAAGTTCCAAACTGAAGTTGACTCCCCAAAACATGTCCATGACTTCCTCTCATGACACCATTTAGTCATGATGACTCCCAAATTTTTATGTCAAGGGCAAACACTGCATATATTTTACTGTTTTATGGGGTTTATGTGTTAAGTGTATGATGAAGAGATTTTCATGTTACAGAGTAACCTGCGTTATGCTCAGGCGTTGCGGGCAAGTGGGAAGCTGGCGGACTCCTTTGGCTTCCTGGTGGACGGTCTTAAGCGTCTGTGTGCAACTGACGATGACAAGGTCACCTACTTTGCTGAACTGGCTTCCGTCATCCCAGACATCAGAGGTAATGTTTCCCATTGTGCTTTCCTCATGCACATCCTTAATCCTATGTCACAAATGTCACAAATGAATAGGGGTGGCTATTGTTACAGATCATAGAGATCATTAATCATTTATATAGAACATGCTTGACAACGGTACAAGAATCTCTATCGAAACGTCGCACTCAAGAATAAAAAGAAGTTGTTATCCATAAAGTTTGTTCTATATTGTACTTCCCAACTTCTAAAATGCCACTCAAAGAAGACATTAATCATTTACTAAATATCGATCGATTATCGATAAATATCAGAGAAGTAACTGTGAGCAAAAATGTCTTAAAAGCGTGTAAGAAATGAATATATGTCATACCGCGGGTGAGTGGTCACATGTTTATTCATGAGTTACAACAAAACAGCGTCCTGAACAGGAGTTAGAAGTAGCCCATGAATAAAAACCTAATTTTCTTCTTTGTGTTTTGTGCAAGTAAAGTTTATTTCATATAAAACTTTACTCCATTACAAAAGTTTATGTACGATATCATCGATGACACTATTTTCATATTGATAGTCATTAATGTTATTTCCTATTGAATATGTTTCCGATAATCAATCTCATTATCCAGCCATACAAATGAATCCCAGTTCGTTTGATATTTTCCATAGATTTTTCTGAGGTTTAATGTTACCTCATCCGTATAAAATGTTATGTTAAAATAAACTGACTGTTTATTGGTTGATTCTGATGAACTTTTCTAGTGGAAGACGACAGCGTTTATAACGAGGTTGACGTCCCCAGCTCACCCCAGTTCTGGTCCAGTGTCCTCAAGCAGCTAGCCAAGGGCGACAGATGGCAGGCAGTGTCTCTGCTCATCCTGGGCCTCACCAATGGGCAGGACTGTCCACTGGATTGTGTTGCCTCTGAAGCTTCAACTGCTGATATCACTGTCTCTGGGCTGCTCAAGCACCTGTCTGATGTGGAGCTGAAGACCTGGGGCATAAAGCTTGCTATCTGTCTGCTGAAGAAGGGTGCAGCCATAGAGACTATTGCAGCTCACTATTTAGAACCAGTGCCTATTACTGCTGTTGAAGTGGCCATTAGAACAGGTATGCTCGCTGACTTTGTTGACATTTCAACATATCCCAGTTGTAGACAGATGATTGTGCCGTTGATCACTCGATTATTTACAGACTGCCACCATATAGCTGGACCATTGCTGAGTGTGGCGTTAAACAACAAACAAACAACATTATTTGAAAATCTTAACTATCATATGTAAATGCTTTGGTAGGTGCCTTGCATTTGAAGTGTGCCAACTCCTGTGGTGTATTTCTATGAGTGAGTGAGTTAAGATTTAGAGTCACATCGGCAGTGTCTCGACCATATCGTCACCATCCTGTCAAAAACTAGAATATCACAAATTAACTTTTAAACCCAGCAAGGAAAGTTAAATCTAGGGTTATTCCTAAACAATAGTCTTCAAGATCTGAGGCTAGTCAAATTCAGGAAAGACTGGCAACATTTCCTTTTGAGAAGAGAGATCTTTCTAGGTCATCATTAAAAAGTACTTTGTGGCGACATTGATTATTAACTTTGACTTCATCAGGCAACAACGAGCTGTTCAGGTATGTCATGGAAACAAGCTCCAAGTTCCGGCTGCACATTGACAACAAGGACAAGAATGGGGACACACCGCTCCATGTCCTGGTGAAGTCAGGGAAGACAAATTCATTCAGTGGAGAAGCCCTTCTCAAGTTGCTGCTCAATTACGGAGCAACTGTCGATGTTCTTGACTCAAGTGGAAAACAACCTATTGACTACCTGGACGCCAAAACACAGGTGTATGCTCACCTGAGGCAGGCTGCTAGCAATTCAGGTATCTGTCATGTAGGACTGAGCACACATTTGATACTGTTTTTCAGGTGACCTTTGCATCTTCAGCTCGTCAGACTCGCATACTTGGTTGACATATCATCGTATCCCAATTGCGTAGATCGATGCTAATGCTGTTGATCACTGGAATGTCTGGTCCAGGCTCGATTATTTACAGACCGCTGCTATACAGCTGGAATATTGCTGAGTGCGGCATCAAACAACAAACAACTAACCAACCTCCAGCTTGTTAAAACCATAGGGGCAGTGGGGCAGCCTATATGTTAAAACCATAGGGGCAGTGGGGCAGCCTATACAGTGGAGATCTGATAAGTAAAATTTCAAGGGACTCGCCAAAAGTGTTTACTTATCAGGTATTTTACTTATCCAAACTTATAAAAACCTGCAAATGACAACCATATGCATGTATATGTATGCATATGTAACAATGAACAACTTATCAGGGCTGGCCTCCAGTTGTCAGTGTATTGTCAACTGCTTGATGCCAGCGAGCTGTAAGTAGGATGTTTGTTTGACTGGAGACTGACACGACTGCCCCTCATGTCGGATTATGTGATGATCACTAATTTAGTTATCTAGTATCTTTTGTTAAGTAATTTACTTCTAGGGACCGTGAGAGACGTTTAGTTAAGCGGTATTGTTTACTTATCAGAGTTTAGTTAACCAGACTCTAATAGTGATAATTAATGAAGAAATTTGCCGGGACCAAAGAAAAGTGTTTACTTATCAGGTCTGTTTAGTTAAGCGGTCTTTACTTAGGCGGTTTCCACTGTATGTTAAAACCATAGGGGCAGTGGGGCAGCCTATATGTTAAAACCATAGGGGCGGTGGGGCAGCCTATATGTTAAAACCATAGGGGCAGTGGGGCAGCCTATATGTTAAAACCATAGGGGTAGTGGGGCATCCTATATGTTAAAACCATAGGGGCAGTGGGGCAGCCTATATGTTAAATCATTCACTTAAAAGCATGCTAAACCACTCTCTTTTACTCCCCCACCACTCACTCCCTTACTCCTTCTGCCACTCACTCCCTTACTCCCCCGCCACTCACTCCCTTACTCCCTCTGTCACTCACTCCCTTACTCCCCCGCCACTCACTCCCTTACTCCCTCTGTCACTCATTCCCTTACTCCCCTGCCACTCACTCCCTTACTCCCTCTGTCACCCATTCCCTTACTCCCTCTGTCACTCACTCATTACGAATTACAGAGGGTACCTTAAGGAAGAAGATTGCTGGTCTGAAAGAACAAGGAAACAAAGCCCAGCAAGTCAAGGACCACTTCCATGCTATCGGATGGTACAATGAGGCAATCGCCTTAGCCTCGACAATGCCCAATATGAAGCAAGACTTGGCAGTCCTTCACAGTAACTGTTCAGCTGTCTACTTCAGCTTAGGCATGTACACTGATGCCCTGAGATCTGCTGTAGAAACTCTTGCTAGTGATCCCAAATTTACCAAGGTAGGTACCAACAGCTTTAAAAGTAAATCCCTGTTATTGGGTATGTCGATACTGTTATGTTATGGTGAATAATAATGATTAAGTAGGGCTTAAACTAGTCTATTTAGACAAGTGAAGAACTACAGTGTATTTGTTTGAGCAGTTGGAAACATAGTATGTATATCAGGGTTTTACCTCGACTCACATTTAGGGGACCCCTAATTATCAGTTATAAGGGTCCTTGCAGGCAATACAAAGGACCTGTGAAGTAACGGTGTAGAGAACTGTATGTTTTGATAATTTCTTTAGAGCCTGGAATGAATCATTGATTATATGGACTGATGGGTGAAATGATGCATGTGACTGCTCAGAAAGAAACAGCCAAACACTTAGCAAAGTCATAGATGTGTTGTAGGCACAGTGAATAATATTGTGTGTCCAGAAGTGATTTTTTTCTGTGTCCATTCTCTACATGTGCACATCACATAAAAGCCAGGTATATGTAGGGACATAGTATTACGCTCTGTCGCTATGGTGCCATATTTGCTGAAGTCCTGTAAATAACAATATGGATAGATCGGATTGTTAAAGGAGAGATGCAAGGGAACACTATTTAGTGAGAACAAAGTGGAGAATATTGTCAAGTCTGGTTCACTGCACATGGGGGGAGACAATGACATACATGTCAAAGCTCTAAATAATCCAGACAGCAAAATGTATAAAACCATCTAAAGAGCAGAACAACAGCTCACAATAAAATTTGGGTCATATGATCATCACGATCCAAAGTTGGTCTGCCATACAGGGACTTAGTTTGGCTGATGAATATTAAGCAGAAATATACTCATAGGGGTAAATTTGTGGCATAGTAGAATGTTGTTATAGAGGAGGAGAGGGTATCTTAGTGGTTTAGCTTGCTGATTGGTTCTTGGACTGGCAAATCCTTTTTGTTTCCTGACTGTGGACTGACATGAGTAAATAACAAAATGTACTTTCTATATAAAACCTTCTGGTATCTGGTTTATTGTAGTAAGGAGCATTTGAATTTAGATTCTTACTCAGTTGTCATTGAATGCAAAATTATAAAATGCCCTTGAATTCACGAAAATGCTTAAAGACTGAGGTCTTTTTTATCCCACCGGCATGTAATGCGGTGGGATATAGTCGTCGCCTCGTCCGTCTGTAATCATTTTGTTTCCGGAGCATAACTCAAAGACCGTTCGATATTTTTCAACCAAAATTGGTAGATATGTCAAACATAACCTAAGGTGGTGCCTTTTGCTATTTACAGATTATTGTCATTTTTATTTTTCTCGGTTTCCATGGAAACGTTTTGGACTTAGACTTAAAGAAGGGTGGGCTTAGTTTCCGGAGCATAACTCAAAAACCGTTCAATATTTTTCAACAAGACTAGGTAGATATATTAAACAGAACCTTAAGTGGTGCCTTTTGCTATTTGCAGATTTTTGGGAATTTTAATTTTCCCGGTTTCCATGGAAACATTTTGGACTTAGTCTCAAAAAGTAAGGATTGCTTTCGTTTCCGGAGCACAACTCAAAAACCGTATAATATTTTTCAACAAAACTTGATAGATATATCAAACAGATCCTAAAGTTGTGCCTTTTGCTATTTGCAGATTTTGGCATTTTATTTTCCCGGTTTCCATGGAAACGATTCGGACTTAGTCCCAAAAGTGAGGGGTGGGCTTCGTTTCCGGAGCATAACTCAAGAACCGTTCAATATTTTTCAACAAAACTTGGTAGATATATCAAACAGAACCTTAAGTGGTGCCTTTTGCTATTTGCAGATTTTTGTCATTTTTATTTTTCTTGGTTTCCATGGAAACATTTTGGACTTAGTCTCAAAAAGTAAGGATTGCTTTCGTTTCCGGAGCACAACTCAAAAACCTTATAATATTTTGAACAAAAGTTGGTACATATATCAAACAGATCCTAAAGTTGTGCCTTTTGCTATTTGCAGGTTTTTGTCATTTTTATTTTCCCCGGTTTCCATGGAAACGATTCGGACTTATTCCCAAAAGTAAAGGGTGGGCTTCGTTTCCGGAGCACAACTCGAAAACTTCTCTATATCTTTCAGCAAAACTTGGCAGATATGTGAGGCAGATCTTGAAGTGGTGCCTTTTGATATTTGCAGATATTTGTGATTTATTATTTTCTCGGTTTCCATGGAAATGATTCGGACTTAGTCTCAAAAGGAAGGGGTGGGTTTCCTTTCCGGAGCACAGCTGGAAAACTTCTTAATATCTTTCAGCAAAACTTGGCAGATATGTGAGGCAGATCCCAAAGTGGTGCCTTTTGTTATTTGGCAGAATTTTGGCATATTTATTTTTCCTGATTTTCATGGAAACGATTCAGACTTAATCCCAAAAAGGAGGGTGGGCTTCGTTTCCGGAGTATAACTCAAGAACCGTTCAATATATTTCAACAAAACTTGGTAGATAAATCAAACAGAACCTTAAGTGGTGTCTTTTGCTATTTGCAGATTCTTGGCATTTTTATTTTTCCCGGTTCCCATGGAAACGATTCAGAATTAGTCCCAAAAATGAGGGGTGGGTTTCGTTTCCGAAGCACAAGTGGAAAACTTCTGAATATCTTTCAGCAAAACTTGGCAGATATGTGAGGCAGATCTTGAAGTGGTGCCTTTTGCTATTTGCAGATTTTTGTGATGTATTATTTTCTCAGATTCCATGGAAACAATTTGGACCGTTCAATATATTTCAACAAAACTTGGTAGATAAATCAAACAGAACCTTAAGTGGTGTCTTTTGCTATTTGCAGATTCTTGGCATTTTTATTTTTCCCGGTTTCCATGGAAACGATTCAGACTTAGTCTCAAAAGGGAGGGGTAGGTTTTGTTTCCGGAGCACAACGCGAAAACTTCTTAATATCTTTCAGCAAAACTTGGCAGATATACAGCTAAACGTTAATTAAGCACCACCAAATTCAAAAGTAAATATTATCAATTAGTGTCAAGTAAGGATAATGAAATTTCACAGTATGCTATATGCCTGTATTGCCCGTGCATCACACGTATCGCAGACATCAACTGCGCAATACAGAAGATGCACGTGCTCGATACACATGCACGGGGTCTTTCGACTGAAAACACAGTATTGTTGTTTGATACTTGGTGGCTGAAATTTGAACGTTGAAGCAACAGATCTTATTGTACTGTTCCAATACAACATGCGAGGCGTAGGCTATCCGAGAACCTACGATGGAGAATCATTGGCATGCATGAAACCGGTTTATCATGCCGTCAAATTGGTATCAATTTGAATCTCAAACACACCATTGTTAGCCGACTGGTACCAAAACGCGTGCAAACTGGAGGCGTCAAAGACTGACCCAGACCTGGGCGTCCAAGAAAAACTAGTGCTCAAGGCGACAGGGCCTTAATTAAACTTAGCCAGGCGCAATCCAATGACCCATGCTGAAGACCTCCGTGAACAATGGCGGTGGGCGTCCAGACTGTCCACGAATACCGTCCGAAAGAGGTTAAGAGCTGCAGGATTAGCGTGCACGTAGACCAGTCAGGCGTCCATTTCTCACTGACAGACACATGCGAAGCATACGCTGGCGTGGTGCAGGTTAAGAGCAAAACCACAATCTCCGATACTGGCGCAGAGTCCACTGGTCGGACGAAAGTCGTTACCTGTTGCCGTCACTGACGGCCGCAGCCTTGTCTGGCGCCGCGCGCAATGAAGCTTATAACCCGGAAATGATTGAACCAACGGTCCCCTTTGGCGGTGGCTCAGTGATGGTGTGGGGTTGTGTGTCCCTCGACTGCAAGCTGGACCTAATCACAGTACCGGGAGCGTTAAGCGGACAACGTTATCAGCGTGCCATCTTGGATGTTGCCGTAATACCCCATTTTGACAATCACACACTTGCCAGTCGTCCCCTGTTCATGGATGATAGCGCCAGGCCTCATCGTGCCAGAGCAGTAGTTGATCATTTGAGGAACAATGCTATTGACACTATTCCATGGCCAGCCAGAAGCCGGATTTTAATCCCATAGAGCATTTATGGGATTATCTTGAAACCAAGTGAGAACCAGAGATCCTCCTGTGCAGAATATGGATGAACTGCAACAGGCTCTTCACGAGGAGGAGTGGCAGAGAATCCCGATGCTTAGAATCAGGCGTCTCATTTCAAGCATGAGAAAGCGTCTTGAAAATGTGATTAGTGTTTAGAGGTGGATACTCCGATACTGACTAAACAGTTTCTTGAGATAGCCATGATGACAACAAGCATATTTAAGTTGAACGTTTGACATTGCAGATACCAGTATGGACTGGACAGTGATACTTTTCAGGCCTAATGAAATGGTCGTTTTGACGCTTATTCGCATAACTCCAATCAATTGGTATCAAAGATAATCATCGGCTTCGTTTTCTGTGTAGTGATAGTGCAGGACATCCCTTTAGCACAATCAATCCTCTTTACATTGAGTCAGACAGGAAATTGCACTTTTCATGATTTGAATGTTGAACTTTTCTGACAAAAGTGGGTGGTGCTTAATTAACGTTTAGATGTATATGTGAGTCAGATCCCAAAGTGGTGCCTTTTGCTATTTGCAGATTTTTGTCATTTATTTTTTTCATGATTTCCATGGATTTGCACTTTGTCTAAAATCAAACTGGACTATAAGTAACTGTCAGATGATTTGTTCTTTCAAAGATGTGGGGGCCGGGGGGATATGTCATCTTCTGATGACTCTTGTCTGAATTTGGTGTTTTGGGCGGCCTCTGAAGCACATGGGTCAGTAGAGGTTCGCAAGGGATGAAAATCATTGCTCGTCATGCGAAGACCCATGTTCTTCCGCACATGGGTACCGTGTTATTGCTGGAATATTGCTAAAAGCTGTGTAAACGCTCGCTCACTCACTCACACTCACTCACTCACTCACTCACTCACTCACTCACTCACTCCAGAAGTCCTTACCATATGCAATTCTAGATAAAGCCCTTGTTGTAAACCTCGCTCGCTCGCTCACTCACTCACTCACTCACTCACTCACTCACTCACTCACTCACTCACTCACTCACTCACCACCACTCACTCACTCACTCACTCCCCACTCACTCACTCACTCACTCACTCCACTCACTCCTCACTCACTCCTCACCTCCTCCTCACTCCTCACTCACTCACTCACTCCTCTCCTCACTCACTCCTCACCACCTCACTCACTCACTCACTCACTCACTCACTCACTCACTCACTCACTCCAGAAGTCCTTACCATATGCAATTCTAGATAAAGCCCTTGTTGTGTTGCTAGGGTTATTGGAGGAAAGGTCAAGCCCTGAAGCAGTTGGGTCGAATTCAGGAATCACTGGCAGCATTCATCCATGCTATGCAGAGAACAACGACCACTAATGACGACCAAGTCCGTTTTCTTACTGAAGTCGCTGATCTGCTACCCTTGATGGTTCAGAAAAGTAAGCATTCTTTTACAATTGATTAATTAACTAATAATGCTGGTTATTGCTCATGGTATATAATCGGAATGCAGTTATCAATCAATAATCAATTCTAATGATAAACCCCACCACAAATCTCAGGACACAGGAGACAATCACAACATAGTGCAAATGAAACAGGCATCGATTAAGATCATTGTGGATTCTTACTGTTTACATTACAGTTCTATGAGTCAGAAATATGTATCAGTTGTCTTGATTTAACAATAGGGGTGGTGGGGTGGCCTATTGTTTAAAGCGTTCGGTCGTCACACCGAAGAACCGGGTTTGATTCCCCACATGAGTACAATGTGTGAAACCCATTTCATGTGTCCCCTGCGGTGATATTGCTGGAATATTGCTGTTCTTGGTATAATGTAATAATATAATAATAATAATTATGTCCATTTATATGGCGCTAAATTCCAGATTGTCAAACTATACCAGCTTTCAACATGATGGGAAATTGTAGGGGACAAATATGTATGCACTCTGAAGATTCTGTTTATAGCCAACCTGGAGATACTAGAGAACCTGTGTAAACTCAAAGAGTTTGTTTTATTCCCCTTTTTATCCCACCGGCATATAATGCGGTGGGATATAGTCGTCGCCTCGTCCGTCTGTCCGTCCATCCGTCCGTCCGTCCGTAATCATTTTGTTTCCGGACCATAACTCAAAGACCGTTCGATATTTTTTAACCAAAATTGGTAGATATGTAAAAAATAACCTAAGGTGGTGCCTTTTGCTATTTACAGATAATTGTCATTTTTATTTTTCTCGGTTTCCATGGAAACGTTTTGGACTTAGTCTTAAAAGAAGGGTGGGCTTCCTTTCGGAGCATAACTCAAGAACCGTTCAATATTTTTCAACAAAACTTGGTAGATATATCAAACAGATCCTAAAGTGGTGCCTTTTGCATTTCACAGATTTTGGCATTTTATTTTTCCGGTTTCCATGGAAACGATTTGGACTTAGTCCCAAAAGTGAGGGGGGGCTTCGTTTCGAGCATAACTCAAGAACCGTTCAATATCTTTCAACAAAACTTGGTAGATGTATGAAACAGATCCTAAAGTTGTGCCTTTTGCTATTTGCCGATTTTTGGCATTTTTATTTTTCCCGGTTTCCATGGAAACATTTTGAACTTAGTCTCAAAAAGTAAGGATTGCTTTCGTTTCTGGAGCATAACTCAAGAACCGTTCAATATTTTTCAACAAAACTTGGTAGATATATCAAACAGATCCTAAAGTTGTGCCTTTTGCTATTTGCAGATTTTTGGCATTTTTATTTTTCCCGGTTTCCATGGAAACGATTTGGACTTAGTCCCAAAAGTGAGGGGTGGGCTTCGTTTCCGGAGCATAACTCAAGAACCGTTCCATATTTTTCAACAAAACTTGGTAGATGTATGAAACAGATCCTAAAGTTGTGCCTTTTGCTATTTGCCGATTTTTGGCATTTTTATTTTTCCCGGTTTCCATGGAAACATTTTGAACTTAGTCTCAAAAAGTAAGGATTGCTTTCGTTTCTGGAGCATAACTCAAGAACCGTTCAATATTTTTCAACAAAACTTGGTAGATATATCAAACAGATCCTAAAGTGGTGCCTTTTGCTATTTGCAGATTTTTGGCATTTTTATTTTTCCCGGTTTCCATGGAAACGATTCGGACTTAGTCCCAAAAGTGAGGGGTGGGCTTCGTTTCCGGAGCATAACTCAAGAACCGTTCCATATTTTTCAACAAAACTTGGTAGATGTATGAAACAGATCCTAAAGTTGTGCCTTTTGCTATTTGCCGATTTTTGGCATTTTATTTTTCCGGTTTCCATGGAAACATTTTGAACTTAGTCTCAAAAGTAAGGATTGCTTTCGTTTCGGAGCATAACTCAAGAACCGTTCAATATTTTTCAACAAAACTTGGTAGATATATCAAACAGATCCTAAAGTTGTGCCTTTTGCTATTTGCAGATTTTGGCATTTTATTTTTCCCGGTTTCCATGGAAGCGATTCGGACTTAGTCCCAAAAGTGAGGGTGGGCTTCGTTTCGGAGCACAACTCAAAACCTCTCTATATCTTTCAGCAAAACTTGGCAGATATGTGAGGCAGATATTGAAGTGATGCCTTTTGCTATTTGCAGATATTTGTGATTTATTATTTTCTCGGTTTCCATGGAAATGATTCAACTTAGTCTCAAAAGGAAGGGATGGGTTTTGTTTCCGGAGCACAACGCGAAAACTTCTTAATATCTTTCAGCAAAACTTGGCAGATATGTGAGGCAGATCCCAAAGTGGTGCCTTTTGCTATTTGCAGATTTTTGTCATTTATTTTTGTCATGATTTCCATGGAAACGATTTGCACTTAGTCGAAAATCAAGCTGGACTTTAAGTAACTGTCAGATGATTTGTTCTTTCAAAGATGTGGGGGCCGGGGGGATATGTCATCTTCTGATGACTCTTGTTACATCAATGTATTGTATTGATAGCCTGGAATTATGATTCAGTACAAGTCGGGCCAGCAGCCACACACATATGCTTACTTGTCACCATAAAGGTGATGTTAGAGCGTCCGCCCGGAGAGCAGAAGGTCGTGGGTTCAATCCCCGACTGCGTCATACCAAAAGACGTTAAAATATGGTTCTTGTTGGTCCCTGCCTGGCGCTCGGCATTAATGGGTACAACAAGGACTGGTCGGCTCGGAGTCAGTATAATGTGTCTGGGTGGGGTATTCATGCTTCACTGCGGCATGGTATCTCAGTGGGCTAGCATCTATAAAACCAGCTTCAGTTTGGGCTAGTACAAGCAGCTGCACATACACATACACATGCATGCATGTCGTCATGTGAGAGAAATATTCTCAAGCACGACGTAAAACCCAATTTCACCTCACCATAATGGTGAAATAATTGTCAAGCCAGTTTTACTATCCACTGTTTTGTTTTTGGGAGAATGATGTTAATGGACTTTAAATACGATGTTATAGTATGACCAGAAATTATTGAGAATTTTAGGAATATGTTTAATTGGATTTCTAGTATAAACAACCTTGACCAGCTATCAAGTGCTTGGTTTCATTCAAGAGAGACAACTCCGTTAATCCTTTTTCGTTAGTTTGTGAAGAGTTATCCCCCTTTGTTTACTTGCGACAGACGACATTTTCAGTGATCCTCAGTATGGATGATTTAGAGAAGAGGAAGTTGATTTTAGAGTATTATAACAAGGACATCAGATCAGCTAAAGTGATTTCAAGTAGAACAGGCATCCCTTTGTCCACTGTTTATCATGTTTTGAAAAATATTGCAAATGGATATGGCATTGAGCACCAGGGAGGCGCAGGTAGGCCCAGAAAATTGACTGTCGGTGACAGGAGGCTGCTTGGTATTCTTGTTTCTAAAAACAAACAGAGTTTAGAAAACTTAAGGCTGGATATGATTGATAGAGGAACTGTGGCTGTATGTGTGGAGACAATTAGAACTGAGCTGCATGCAATGGGTTGGCAGAAAAGTCGAGGAATTCCATCACCGATCATGAAACCTGAACAAAATGAGCGAAGGTTGAACTGGTGCTTACAGCATAGAAATATTAACTGGGTCAATGTGATTTTCTCAGATGAAAGTTCTGTGTGGCTGTTTCCTAATACACTGAAATTCTGGACCAAACAAACTGAAAAACCTTTGTATCAGCGCCCAAAGTACAGTCCGAAATTTAACATGTGGGGTGGCATATCTGTGTTAGGGGCAACGCCCCTCTGTGTATTTGAAGGGAATATGAACAGTGAGCGGTACACAGATATTCTCGAGGGACATTTACTTCCATCTGCTCACGTGTCCTATGGAAATTTTTTTGATTTTCCAGCAGGACAACGACCCAAAACATCGTTCAAAGCATTCACAGGCCTGGTTTCGGACCCAAAATATGACATTATTAGATTGGCCAAGCTATAGCCCTGACCTAAATCCAATAGAAAATGTTTGGGGACTTATGAAGGAAAGTGTCAATAAGAAAAATCTGACAAAATTTTTCCTTATCCTGACTCATGCTCTTTTGCTTGTCTTCTTCTTCTTGCGAACATAGTGGAACACTTGTATCTCCTTATTTGAAGCTCCCTTCAAAATAAAATCACTAATTGGTACTCACCACGAGTTGCTCCCCTTTGTTTCCCCTGGCGGGAAAGGTGTCGCCACCCTCTGGCCATGTGCTCCACTCTCTCCTTCTTCGCCCAGTGAGCAGGATGTGAGAGCGCCTCGTGTCTCCTTACACACCATATCCTTTGATAATTTCTTAGTTTTTACCTCTCTTAGGTTACTATAGAGGTATAGCTAGTATCCTTTACTAATTTGTATTGATTATTTATCGTATTTCTACTGTTTATTCCGCGTGTATTAAGTGATTGTTCAGCTTGCTTTACGTTGATGAAAATCTGTACTATTTGTAGATTACGTTTTCTGCCTCTGATCCGCATGTAATATGCCCTAGTTGTGCTACTGCCGTGTGTGCGTTTGATTCACGCGTTGCAGTTACTGCATTAATCTATCTCATTCTGCATTTAATAAATATCATCTTTATGCGTCTTAAGGCGTGCTGCAGATAGAGTCACGCAAACAAGGGCAAAACATGGCAGATAGTCCAGATATTCCATCCAGTCAGCTGCTAGCGATCGACCCTCTCCCGTCCTGGTGTGCTGCTAGAGACCCCTGCGGTAGAGAGGCGTGGGGCGCAGTCCGTTACCTCGAAGAAACGACCGGCCTCCCCAGACATCCCGTCATCGCAGACCAAGTCTAAGAGGGCCTCAACGTCTTCTCAACGCAGACTTAGGACCCCAGGGCAGCGCAGACTTCCAAAGGGAAATCTACGAAGACAGCGAGAACTTTCTCAGCCGAGATCGTTCCAGCAGCAGAATTGGGCCTCTTTGATGATCAGCCGATAATCATCCCCGACTTACGGCACAAGAAGCGACCGGTGTCAGCGACTGTGACTTCTGCAGAGATCAC